AATAAAATATAATATATATATATATAATATCTCGACATGTATCACATGCTATATTGACTATCGCGTTGCCGGACGGGATTTGGAAATTTCATTCCTCACCCTTACATCATTTCTCTCTCTGGCAGTTAATGCTTGGATGTTTCGAAAAAGGTAAATGACAAAAAAAAGCTATGAAAAAAAAAATTGCCTTCTTCGATTTATCTTCTTGTTTAGGAGATCGATTTCTGTTCACCAGAGACAGAAATATGCTGTCACACTTATTGCTCTTGTTGGTAAATCGTTAGACCGTAAGTGATTAGCATTAAAATCGTTAATCGCTAATACTTTCATAAACTTTCATCTTAGGAGCATCAACCGTAAATACTAATATTGACTTAGCGTTTATCGAACTCGTAACAATGTACGCCGCCACCCATTGACTAAATACTTCTCCGCGAATACTTTTTCATTGTAATATCAACATTGTAGTATCAGTATATAGTCTCGCTTGTTCGAAATCTTACAGGCTATTCGTATCGTATTATAGACTTAATAATAAAAAATGGATCGTTCGATTCTGTTCTGGAAGATTAATTGCGTATTACCGATTACTCCCGCTATACTTCCTCACCGAGATCGTTATCATCGTTAAAATTAACGTACTTTTCTTAATACAATAAAGTAAGAAATCCTTGGAATATTCCTTCTAATCGTTTGATTTTCGATTCAACCTTACATCTAACCGAGGAAAAAAAGGCTGGAATCTTTTTCAGTTCGATTCTCCGCTGGCTACTGTGCCATCCGTCGGAGGGCCGCCCGCTGTGACGCTCTGTGGATCGGCCGTATGAAGTCCTGGCACATCCTGCACACCTTGGAACAATTTGCCTGGGAAACCATGCAACAGATCGTAGGAAACAGGTGTGGGTGGCAGGGCGGTGGTGTGAGCGTGAGGCGACTGTAGAACCGCTATCACTCGTCTCAGTTCCTCCAAAGCGTTTCCTGCGTCGTGCGTGTAATTCAACGAGAAACAATTTCGTGAATACAGGTGAAATTAAACGACCACGTAGTGCTTCTTGCTTTTTCATTACCTTGCATGAGAATGTAGTTCTTCGCCAGGAGTAGAGTGGCAATCTTCGAGAGTTTTCTCACGGACGGACTATGGGCGTACGGAATTACAGATCTCGCGTTGATATTTAATCGCATACTTTTCCCCTGACGTGTTGTTTTCGACTTTGGCGGGCAGTTTAATCTCGACGCTCCTGGTCTGTATTCGTGAAAAACATTGTAATTAACCAATTACTGCGACGATTAATTAGATTAATTGAGTATTTATCGTAGAATTTTTTACACCTTTCTTGATCGGGTCTATTTTCATCGGAGAGAGCGCTAGACGAAGTGTGAGGCTGAGGTTGTTGTTGGAAATAGAAACCGCCGAGACCAACAGCACCCAAGGGAGTCCTTCTCCCAGGTGCGCTCTGAGGGTGTTCCGACGAATAGCCAGCTGGAGGAGCGGAAACACTTGCGTGTGATGCTCCTGGCACAGAATACATAGACTCGAGCGATGCCGTGGACTGTGGTGGAAGTGGGTGCTGTAACAACGTAATAATAAAGAAATTTAATAAACTGATTCGTTAATAATATACTACTACAATCTACAATCCCTTCAATTTACAACTTCACTATATTTTCACCCTGAGTTTGATACGAAAACACCTTTAGTTCTTAACTCATTCGTATTAGAATAACATTTTTTCAGCCAAAGTCACTTAAAGTCATTTAAAAATTCAATAAACCCTTTTCAAAATTTCAAACAAAAACTTAAAAAGAGCAGAAAAGGAGTTGTTCAATTTTTAAATAGTGAAGCGATTTGTGGACCACCCTGTGTAATCGACAGTTATTTATAATACGACTACATCTTTTCAAAAAACATTTTCTCTTGCATTGTTCTTCAAAGAGTGAAGTCAGGACAAATGACCAACCTTCAGATTACTCAACGGTCATTGCCTCTGTATATAGAATTATTTACGATCAGAAAAATTTGTTGAAAAAATACCCACAGCAGTACGGTGCTCCCAGGCCCATGTGGGATGCGATGCTGAACGCTGCCAAGATCCTTGTTGCAAATGCGCCTCAGGAAGACCCTCTCTTCTATCATCATCTTCCGTGGAACTACTTTCACCGTCGTACGACCTCATCTCTCAAACGATCCCCGTCCTCAATTTTAAACAAATAATCTCTCTCGAATTTCTCTATACTCTTCCAATCGCCCTTTAACTCATTCACCAGAACCGGCTTCCTCGCGCGCATGAAAAGGTCCACAGCCCGGTTATCATCGTTCACGCGTGAGTAACGCGGCGTATCGAGCGAACAGTATCATCGACGAGCATAACATAATCAATAGTAACCGCAACACTTACCGACAAATTTCTTTCCGCCGCCGGTCATGCACGGCGCAGGATCCCTCCCGAATGCAGCGAGGATCAGCAGAATTTTTTGCGCACCACCGCGTAATCATCCATCCCTCTGAACATTCAAATCCTTCTCCTGATTCGACAGAAACAATCTTATCCACGATCAAAGGGGGACTCGATTAATATACAATTCTCGTTTTTTCCACCCTATTTATCACCAATCCTATACGGTGTAAATAAATCACTATTTACGACTGCGAAACGACGCCAATCACAGCCATGTTACGCGACCGATCTCTGTTTTCCTCTCGCCTCCACGAGATAGCGTTCGAATGTTCCTTCCTCCCGATTGCCCGATTCTCCCACGCGTTCCTCGTCTACCTCCGTCAGCTTTACCTTTTTCATCACTCAAATCGATGCATTTTCTATTTAACGAAATTATCGCCCCCGCGGAACGTACTAAACCGTCGCCCACAAAACACGCACGCGTCTCTATTGTTCAAGATACAGCCTGCGCAGAGCGGGTGGCTGCAACCCTTAAAATGTAGTTCGACTCGCCGCCGACAGGGCGTGTGACGATCGAATAGAGGATGCTGGCCTGGACCAACGGCTGGCGAACCCTAGCGAACGTATGGCTAAGTTCCAGCGGATAGAACATCCGCCTTTTACCATCTGGATAGGTCGATGCCCAGATGGAAGGGTCTGGTCCTCTTGGGGGGCTGTGCTACGCGGTATTTTGCCCTTTCGTGACTAGGATGCTTTCCCTTGTTCGAGGGGCTGTTTAATTTCATGGCATCAACCGCTCCTGGAACGATGTTCCTGTTTCTTATTTGGAATTTTGATGGTCTAGTGGCGTGGGAGTGGTATACGATGCACTTTGGGACCGATTTCTTTGAATAGAACATTGTGTAGTAATCGTACGTGAGAGTACTACAAAAATCGTTGAAAGTAGTATTTGTACGATGAATTGAAACTTTCTCGTGTTTTTACACATATTTCTAGAATTTATAGTATATCCTTTATTCAACCTCGGTGATTACCAACTATTTTCTTTTTTTATTTTCGTTACTTTCCTTTTATTTCTTCACATTTTCTTTGTTCGAGAATACATCTTTACGGCCTCTGCTAATCCCTTTTTCTTTCCTTCGACGAAATTGCAGCTAATTTTGTACAATCCCTATTTCAGTATCGTTTCACTCTCTTCATCTTCGTTCGTGAGAAGAATAATTAGGGCTGATCAGAATTTTACATTTCAACGTGAGAAGCAAAAATTATCAATTCTTATTGAAGCTTCCGGGTGTAAGAGTATTACACTTTTGTAATAAGGGTAACCAAGGGCACCCAAATGCCTCCATAATAATAATAATACTCCAGGCAGCGAAAGCCCTAAAATGTCCCCAGTCACATGGGCGTTATAGAGTGTCAATTTTAAAACAGAAAATATTTGTATCCTTCAAAAAATATTCCTCAGAAATTTTGCCAAAGTAGCTTCTTCGAACGTCTCTCCCAATCAAATCTAACCACTCAAAGTTCCACGATTTCGTTCGTTTCCTCGTTTCCCGAACAACGGGCAGATAGATAGGAAATTCGTGGAAACACGAACGGCGAGATCGATAAAAAAGGGAAAACGATGAGCATGGACAAAAAGGGGCGCGGAAAATTTCATAAATGGTAGAGGGCAGAACGGCGGAAATGCAGCGTGGAGAGTGTATCGCGGGGCGCGCACGGTCTCTCCCGTGTAACGTTGCAGATCAATTTTGCGAACAGCGAACAGGGCGAGCTAGGTATAGTTTTCGAGTGTACGAAATAACGACGGATCGACGGCTGACACGTTCTGCTGTGCGTTATACCTGACCATGGGCATAATAACGCCGAAATCAAAACCGACTACGCGCGCACACGTCGGGCCATATTGTTCGTTGCATCTGTCGTGTGCACGACACAGAGGGTTGTCATTCGCAACTAACACGTTCGACGAAAACTCTCTGTACCGCTGTCGTTCGACTCGCCTTTAACCGAGAACAATGTGAATTTTTCACCGTGGCGAAAAAATTTGTTTCTTTTTTCTCGTCCCTCGCTTTCTGGCCCTTTCCTTTTCCTTCTTTTTTTTTTTTGTCACTTTTTTCCGGCTTTTCTTTCCTTCTTTCCTTTTTTTTTTTTTTTCGTTGCTTGTTTGTTTTCGTTTTAATTAATACCAACGTGAAAACGAGGGGCAGCCGGGCATGGAGGTTTTCGACGGTTTTTCGGGTACGATGGTTTGTTCGTTCGAAATGATGTTGAGAATCGATGGACTTCCCTATTGCTCTTTTTGTTTGTCCCTCTTCTTCCTTGTAATCTGGGAAATGGATAGTTTGGGAATATTGAGAGAACGAATTTTTCGGTTCTCGTAATGGCTTTTCCCTGTGGTTTTTACCACAGAGATTTTCGAAGCTTGTAATTTTTCTTGATAAAAGACTGATACACGGCGATTCCGATCAAATTTTATGTATAACTGGAGAGTTCGAGAATATTGAAGTATTTTTTTTCTTTTTCTTTTAGGGATAGTGTTGTTATCGAAATTTTAGAGCTGGAAAATTATTAATCATTCTGTATCCGGTATATACAAATTTCGTTTAGGTCAAGTTGTTCCTCGTGAAAAACCAGACAAGATTCGTATTTAACGTTTCTCTCTATCTCGATTTATTTTCGAGTTATTCTAATTAACGAGAGAGATTTTAGCCCTCAACTTTGGAGGATGATCTCATCCCCTAAAAATAAGTATCAGAAGCTGAAACAAAGTATGTGTGAATATTTTTGGAATCTCTAACTATACATAAAGTTGAATCGAAATCAACGTGTATCAGCTGTATCATGTTCCTTACAAGTTCTATTCTTTGTTGTTTCGTTTGTTCGTTTCTTTGTTTTCTATACATAGGGAAACGATTACAACTGGGAATATTTTTTTTTGATTTTAGATCTCCTTACAATCAATTCCTCATTGGGAATTACATGTAGGTTTCGTGAAATTACTTTGGAGCGTTTAGTATTCAGATTTAACAACAAATACCCAGCCTCCTAACAACCATGGAAATATTAAGGGAAGAATTTCAGATTTTACAATCGTGTAAGTTAGAAAGAAAATTTTTCTCCTGAAACTGACTGGTTTGGAAACGTCGAGAGAGTAATTGCATATTTCATAATAGTTCCTATCTTTAATTTCAACGCTTCGGTAGAAGATACGTGGCTGCCGATGAAAACAAAGGGAGGATTTGAAGCATTGTGATCTTTATGGAGAAAGATATCCTGTTTGATTTAACGTCCAACGTTCCCCGTATATTCTCCCGTGGATGCGACACTTTTTCGGAAAAAATTAAAATAGATTTATGCGCGCGGAAGAATATTGTGCAGACGTAATAAAAACGCTATACCGTCCACACACTTGTCGCGATCATGGAGGGAAGGAAATTTGTTACCGCGAATGCAACCAGAATTTCAAAGTGTCGAGAGGATCCAACGACGTCATACTTGGCTCGGGACCATATGTAAAATAGATCCACGAAACCGGGAAACATTTTGCGTGGGCGAGATTTATACAATTCCGAAGATATCCTCTCACAAACCGTGCATTTATCATGCCCAAAGTTTCTGACTCATCACAAATATCTTGAGTCACGTACATTCCACTAAAACATGAATGAATTTAAATGCTGCCAATTCAAACTTTCTCTAGCAACGAGAGACATCTACTTTTCTTTACTCTATTCGAAAGGCGTGAGAACATTTTTCAATGCAACTATTCTTGCTGGAAAGACTGCATCTGCGGTTCGTTGCTCTCTGGACATTTGTTAGATAAAATCGTTTTGTATTTTAACTAAATGAATATGCAAGAAGATATTTAATAACAGTCGAAGAGCAAAAATTTCAATTTTGAGGGAAGAAGGGAAATCACTTTATCCATTAATGTGAAACCACCTTTGTGTTTCTTTCATCCACCAATTATGCAACACTATACACTTACGCAATTTTGCCTCATTACACGTTAACGACAAACAAATGAAATCATGCATTTAGTTGAAATTCACTAAAATTGTAGTTCCCAAAATTTACCATTGGAATCATCATATAAATAAACATATATAGTTACACATTAGAAAAGATTTAATGAAATTTCTTATAAAGTAGAATTTTCAAGAATAATTAAAAAACTATATTACATCCTGCGATATGGAATATTCAGTTTTCAATCATTCATAAATTGATCACTGAAAAGTTCTATGAATTCATTAAAATTTATACAATTCTTGATAAGTTACTGCTGGAGAATCAAGGGGCAATGTTTGTTTGAATTTCTAAAACAATTTTCATTCATAATAGTCGACACGAATGTTTAATTTGTATTAGTTTTCTCCGAAGGTAGATTGTCCGCTCCTATTGTTTCGAACATAAAAGATAGGCCTCTGAATCATTGCTCGTGGACCCATCCCTGAAATAGTGGGCCATAGCAGGGGTTAGTTTTACTTCTACTCCCGAAGTGTTTACTGTACGCAATCCAGCATAATGTTGCAGTCTCTCAGCCCCTACCTACCTCGAGTTCTCGAGGTGGCCAAATCTTTGGCACAGAAATGAGGGCTTTAATACATATATATATATAGTAGGCTGGAATTGTTTAAGGAGCTTGCGGGAGTCGCACCCTCATCGAACTTCCCTCTTCAAGTAGGTTTTACCGTTCTTTAAATTCACCAAATTATACCACCGTCGTTCTCCTTTCAAACGGGAAACTCTGTATACACGTGGAATTACTAAAT